AACAATAGTAGTAGTATTAGCAATAGTAGTAACAATGGAAGTAGCAGTAGTAATAGTAAAAGTAGTATCAGCAATAGTAGTAACAATAGTAGTATCAATAGTAATAGTTAAAATAGTATCAGCAATAGTAGTAACAATAGTAGTAGTATTAGCAATAGTAGTAACAATGGAAGTAGCAGTAGTAATAATAAAAGTAGTATCAGCAATAGTAGTAACAAAAGTCGTAGCAGTAGTAGTGGCAGTGGTAATAGTAGTAGTAGTAGTGGTAGCAGAAATAGTAGTAGCAGCCATAGTAGTAGCAATAGTAATACTAGTAGCAATAGTGGTAGCAGTAGTAGTAGTAGTAGAAATAGTAGTAATAGTAGTAGTAGTAGTAGTTTTAACAATAGTAGTAGTAGCAGCAGTAATAGCAGTAGTAGCATTAGTAATAGCAGTAGTAGCATTAGTAATAGCAGTAGTAGCTTTAGTAATAGCAGTTGTAATAGCAGTAGTAGTAGTAAATTTTTAAAATAAAAATATATGTATCTTGAACGTGTAAGAATTGGATGTTTTTATTTTTTTGAGTTTATTCCACTAATTAATAATTACTCCTAGTTGTGAAAGGATTGCCTTTCAGACCCAAGCAAACAAGCAGTCCAGCAATTAAAGTTTGCCTTCTAAGCCCATACTCTTTGGGCGTTGACCAATTAGTCAGGTGGTCAGTCAGTGGAAGAGTCAGCCAATTAGGCACTACAAATAGTTGCATATATTAGGATTAATTAAAATGTGAAGGGCGGTCTGCTCATAGTTTTTGCATTCATTTTACTTTTCTGCCCGCAATCTCGGTTAATATTCTCCGGCTGTCTTAGGCACGTGGCTCAGTCAATACACGGATGTTTGGTGGGTTCTCCAACTGCAGATTAATGACGGTGTGGAGTGTGTGGCGGACACCGCAAACCAAACCCCAACCCACACGAGGGGGAGGCTTCTCTTTTTGGCCACTGTTAACATGCCATGGCCATAAACAGTTAATTAAGCTTTTATTGGTTACTCTCTTTTTTGCGCCCTGACATTTCACGTTTTATTTGTCAAACAGGAGCCAAACGCAAAAATAAAAAGCAAAACACAAAAAGTGACGACCATAAACGGTCAGTCGCCCCGGTGGGCAGCCGAGTGGCCAGTGACCAAATGCCAAGCCGCTCGCTTATTTGCCTCGTGCCGCAAGGTAGGCACACGTTATATTTGCACACCGCGACCCCGCCGGGAGGGTGGGAGGGGGAGCTACTCCTGTGTTTGGGGCCGCAGTTTATTTATTCGCTCATTTCGTGTGCAAAAATATTTGGTGATAACGAGCCGTCAGCCCACAGCGGCTTGTCATGCTTAAACCACATTTATTTGTTGGCAACACGGCAACAATAAAAAATTTTGTATATTCTTTTATGCAAGTAAATTTTTGTAGGCTACCCAACAGAGCGGCGACAAATGTATATATATAAAAAAATAAAATAAAATAAAATAAAAAAGGCTACAAAAAGTTGGCGGCATCGGCATTTAATTTACATTGCAAAGTTTCGTTTCGTTACGTTTCGTTCGCGAGAGCATTCAGATAATAAAAAGCAGAGAACAGGAACTGAAACAGAAACTGGAACTAGGTTAAGCAAAAGTGGATAACAAAATAAAAACTATGGCTACAGCGAGCAGGAAGGCGGACAGGCGAAAGGACAACGCAAAATGTCGATAAGATAAAAAGCCTAAAATGTGAACAAAATAGAACAGAAAAGAAACTGAAAAGTCTGCCCGAGGAAAGCCCAGAGAAAGTTGTGGAAGCCCTTAATCAGCAGCCCGTTGCGAGATGCATGGCCTCAGCTTACAATCGTATTTGTTCCGAAAATCTATTTGTCACTGAATTCGCCAATCTAGAAGCTCTGTTTGATATAGACGATCTTGAGAGCTGCTAACTCAGAGAACTCAAGAAGAGTAAGTCTTCGCAGTAGTTAAAGAAAATGCAAAAGTAACTCTATATGTATGTATGTATATCCGTTTGTCTATATATGTATGTCAGTCTTGTATGTACGTCTGTCAGTCAATATGTTTGTGTATCCGATTATAATCCCTATGAATGCTATTAAAACAGGCCATAATTTCAATAAAAAATTATATATTCAACTAGTTAAGCTACTTTACGTATTATGAACTCATTTTGCTTATTTTAATTGAGGCTGTTTTTTTTTTAATATATACTATTTATGGATTTTTACATTAATAAAGCTTTATTATTCACTGCTCATAATAAATAGTTCACATAATGTAAGCGATTTAAAAGTGAAGGTTATTCAAGTAAAGCCTTGACAACAATCGCAGCCATTCGCCATTTTTCCCTGCACTTTAAGCGAATTCAGTCTTTCAGTTTTTGTTACTTGAGCCTAGTTTCTCGTGCCGTCAGCAAGTTTTTTGCCTGGGCCAAAAGTGTCAAAACAACTTGGAGCTTCAGTTGCAGTGATTATGGCTTCGGCTGTACAGCTGCAGTGGGTGTTCAGGACGCTGCGGGCAAAAAACGGGCGCAAGTTGTTGATTTCTTAAGTTAAGAGAAAGTTGGCCAGCCGAATTGGCTGGCAGCCAGGCAACAACAATCGGTAAGCAACGAATCCCGAATGCACTTCATAAAAAACAAGTGCAAGTGAAATTGAAAGCCAGGCTGACGCCTACGAAAACTTGTCACATAAATCGCAGCTGGCGTATCGAAAGCGAAGTTTCTGCCCATGGCCAGAGATCATAATTAATGATGCTCCAGCTTTAGTGCGAGACGGGGAACCCTTCTTAGACTCCTGCTTCTCGCTCGCCTATTGGCAGCACAATAAATCTCAATATAACTAAAGTGGACGTTACACTCTAAACTTTGACACTTGATGGTAAAATCTGCCTGTTGCCCCAGCTCACACTCACACACACACACACACACTCACACACATACTGACATCCGTCTCTGCAGCCATCGTTTGTCATGCTGCACGTAAGCTCAATAATTTTTTGCCTCTCCTTCAAGCTGAGGCAACTCGAGTGAAAGGACTGGCCAGCGCCCAGCTTGAGATGATTTCTATATGTGAATATGTATTATTTTGCAAACCCAAATTGATTACTCTGAATATTCTGACCGACTTTCCGGGGTTGGCAACCCTTTCCTTCTTTCAGTCTCTTTTTCAGGCATTCCTTCTCCATTGGGTCTCTCTGCTTAAACGTTTGTTTATACTTCCACGTTTTCATTTTTTGTTTGCTTGTGCTTAATTGAAACCTTAAATGTTTTTACATTGCATTGGGTCCAGAAAAGCCACAATACGAAACACTCGCTCAAAAGAAGAAAAAGCAATACATACATATAGCATTCAGTTGGAAAGGAAATGAAAAATGAAGTCTGACCAAAAAAATGCTGCAAGCTCTTGTGCTCCCTTTAAAAACAAACTTGGACCAATTGAATGCCAACTGATTACGCACACAAACCATTACACATCACACACTCATACATATACAAATTCAATCAATCAATTGGCATTTAACGGGCGCCGCTTGTACAGCCCTGAATGGGTACTCAAGGGCCAGGTATACATAGTTAGAGAGCGCTCTATTATCTAGAGAGCATTACACTCAAAGCTTCTTTCGTTCAGCAGAAACGCTTTGCGTATATAATGAGATTAAGCGATTCGCTTATGTCCGAGGCAGAAGTGTTTCAGCGTAGAGTTGTGTATATAAACTCAGTGTGACTCTGACTCTGACTCTGACTCTGACTCTGACTCTGACTCTGACTCTGACTCT